CATTCTGTGTTGGGGTTGTCGATAAAATAAACTCATATTTGCTATAGCAATTGACGACATTACTTTTTTCGTAAGTGTGTAAGCTTTTGAGACTACCAGTAATCAGATATATGAGTTGTATATAGCGTTTCATCTAGCGTGGACTGAATTTTCAACTTCGGTCTTATCAGCCCCAGCTGGACTAACTCTGATAACGCAGAGTATAGTCTCAGCGCACAAGCTAGTAGTAAACTCAAGTATCTTTATCTATTTTACTTGTTATTATGCTGATTTCTTTGATTTTGATATTTCCGTCATACATCTCTATCTTATCCCTTTTAAGGTTTTGGCTACTGGTTTGAGTGGTATTTTTTCGACTCTTCCACGGAAATTGGTATCACTTCCTGATTGTTCTTCCGGTCCTATTTACTCTGGTCGACTCTCATATCTTTCGCATGGTCAGCAATTCACTGGGTTGGCCTCAAGCACTAACAGTCATCCGGCCCCGTTAAGTACCCACTCCGCTCAGCAATCAGACAGTCTGACTAGGGTCAACAAACCAACTGCTAAGCGAGTCACATGTTCACCGACACCTGTCCGCCAAACCGGTATTCTCTATGTCGGTGGACCAGGGTGGCATCGAATCAGCTGGGCTGAATGTCTGGCCAGTCCAGAGCTAATGAGGTTTCTGGCCGCATTGGACTTTTGCAATATGGCCATTAAGGTGAGCTTAGCTCAAAGCTGCAATGATATGATATATGAAATGAATCGAAAACCAATATATTTTGTAAATTTATGTGTATATATTTGTGTATTACTAGTAAGACTGGATATATATATATATATATATGTAATCAAGGTTATTCGAATTATATGGCTTTTTGCCCTAAGGAGAGTATTACTTATGCACACACATTTTTTTCGTTCATTAGAGGAGCGAGGTCTTGCCAACCATATGTGTTAGCTAGAGCATTTTGTAGCAAAATAATATAGTCTTTTTTCTTTTGTAAGCGTATTTTTATACCTCCAGTAGGGTGAATACATATGAAAAATATGTACTTTCACATACAATCTACCTGCAAGTGATATCGTTTATTATAGTCTGGCTGAGTTGAGTCCTATGTTGGAAATTGAAATGAGTGCTACGGCACAGGAGGCAGGATTGGGTTGGCTCCACAATATCTAACTTTTTCCTCCGTCAGGTTGTGAAAACGACATTAGCTTAGCAGTCAGCCATTTATATTTAATTTTTTATAAAATTTTTCTCTTATTCGCATTAAAAATAAGAAATCTCATCCCTTTTGCTCCTTTTCCTTTGATCGCTTCCTTCAGCCATTCAGCTTAACTAACTTTTACAAAAGGTTGTAAAAAAAGCTTTAGCATAAGTACTCATTTGCAAAAATGGTTTCGGGCTCAGTCAAGTACGAAGTGATAAATAAGTCATAAAAGTCAGGAGGGAGTAGTGATTGACTGCAAAGTTATAACAAAACTAAAAGCAATTGCATTTAAGCAGAGTTCTGACATGCCGGCTGTTTGTACATATACTGAGTAATTATGAGTTTTCTAAAGTCCTGTGGTAAGGGAGATAAAAGTTAACTTTCAAGAGACTGGGATTCTCTGTAAACTCACTCTACAAAAGAATCAGTTGGGCGTAATAAACTTGATTACATTAACTACTGTCATTGTGCCAGAAAAATATTTTATATTACTCCCAGTCAAAGCACTCTGATTATCTTATCAAACATATTGAAGGTGACCATCGTTAGAAATCAGGGACTTTGGCGACCAAAGTACGCCATGAATTGTGTTATAATTCTTTGCCTAAGTGAATAAGGCTTTTCAAAATATAGGCCGTTAATAGTAACTTAGTCCACAAAAGTTAGCTGAGTATCAGATAGTGAGGCATCTTTGAGCTATGATGTGATGGATTATATGCATGCTAATTTTTTATGTACTTAAGTTAGTGAAATTTACAGATTTCGTTTGTGATTATTGATTATAGTGATAAATAAGTTTGAGGCGATTTACTAAACTGTCTAATTTTTCATGGTACATACTAGTTAGATGAGTTAGGCCTATGTTTCTCGCCCTCTGCATTTAAGCAAGCATTTTATACTATGAGAAATAAAATATACATCAGTGTATTTGACTAGCTGAATATATGAGAGCACGCATGCTAATTAATAGGTTTTTTTATATTTTTATTTGTTATTCTTAATACAGATAAGGCTGGCTCTGATTTTGTTAAGGATCTTTCTATTTTGAAAAACTTTTCAAATGAGTTATTTTTAAGAATACTTATTTAAATTAAGTTCGATATTGATTTTATAACACATTTGACTCAATTTCATGTTTTTATTATACCTACTTTTTGTTTATAAGCAGGGCTTCGAGACTACTAGTAAATCAGTTATATGATACGTATTCACTCTATTTCGCTTAAGGTGGTAAAGGACTTGTAGTTGAGTTTTTCCACATTGCTATGTGTAGAGCTGACATTTCCATTGAATATCACATAGCCTTGCTTTCCCAAAAATTATTCTCCTCTAGGCTAGACTGCAATTTCGACATCGCATAGGTCTTATCAACACTCCAAGCGGGAGTCGAGCAGTTATAGAAAAAATGAGTTTGCCCCATCGACAATCCCACCAAAGAATGTGATATGGGAAAAGGCCTGGCCTTTCTCGAAATTCACATCTGCCCTGTGACCCAATGGC